AGACAGGTTTTTGGAAGGTTCGAGTTGAATTGAGAATTAGAATGGAGAGGTGAACAGAAGGCAGAATGAGAACAGGAGCCTCTATTCTTCTTGGCCAATAAGATTAATGACTTTTGGAGATATCTTGGATGGCGATCTAGTTTCATGTATAGGTGCACCGGCTTTGTGTAGTGAGAAATTAGCTTTGCGACCTTGGACAAGTTACCTAACCTTTTCATAAACCCGTAAAGTGGGGAAAATGCCTACAACCTTTCAGGTTGATATAGGAATGCCATTTGATGAAGTGTTTGGCACAGTGCCTGGCATCTGCTTATCGTGGAGGAAATTATGGTCTTGAACTTATTGGTGGGAAAGACTTCCTTTTCATTTCATAGAAGCTGTGGTTTCACTAGCGGGTGGAGAGAAGGTGTTGTTCCCTTCCCAGCTTCAACTCTGGCAGACCAACTACCAGAAGTGGGAACTTGGCTGGAAGTCTGCCTGGAAGGACTTTGAAATCTTGTATGAAATCCTACCTAGGCACCTTTGACTGGTCAGAAGGCTAGCTCCCATTAGGAGAGTTGTCTTTCCAAGGGTAACTTTTTCTCAGTTCCCTTCCAGTCTCCAGGCAGCTGGCTACCCATAATATTTTAAACCTAATTTTGCAAGTAAGAGATAAACAATTTTGGACCTTTTCCTGTAACAGATGAGAAATTAACACACCAGGGAGCTGAGGTGTTTTGTGGGAGAAGTAGTAGATAAAACTTTAGCCCATTAAGTGGCCATATTAGATACCATTTCACCAAGCAACCATAAACTGTAAGAGGATATTTCTGTTTAGTGTCCAGCTTGGCTCCAGCTTGGCTCCAATTTTGCCCATCAGAAGTCATCTGAAACAACTTTTGCTTATCTCTTTTAGCACCACCGAGAGTAATGGGGAACAAAAAGGGGATCTTTACTCGTCAGAGACAACCAAAAGGTGCAGCATTCCTTTTGAGACAGAGATACTGGAAACTTGCGAATGAAACCAGGTACCATTGGTCAGCTATGAAGTCACAGTGTGTGGGAATGAGCCCATTTACTTTGTAATGGAAGAATTACCTCTTTACTGACACCAGCTCTGTCAGCCCCTTCTCCCCAAGTAAGGGGTGAATTTCCCAGCAAACAGAGAAAGTGCTTCCCTGGACCGTGTGGTAGACCAGAAAGTTTCCTGTCTGGAGTTTGTAGTAATTTGCTAGAGTTTGTGAAAATAAAGGCTTTTATTGTATGGGAATAAAGAGTTGGCTCAGAAGTGACCATAAATTGAATGATCTATATTGCTGAAAAGCCTCTGAAATTATGTGTCGAGCTGTTTTGATAGCCTTAGCTGTGTGTGGACTCTTGAGAAACCTCTGCTTCAACACTCACGCCACATGCAGAGATGCAGGTTACAGTCTGTGCTTGCACAGGAATTACCCTGCAGCCTTAGGGCCACCTGTGCTCATGTAGCAAACCAGGCCAGCCTTGACTGGGCGAGTGAGAGTGAAACACAATGGCTGTAAAACTCCACAGATGGGCTGAAGTCCCAATAAATTTACAGAAAGCGATGTGCTGCAATAACGAACAAAGTCTATATACTAGTTTCCAAATAGTTAAGCTGACAAATAAGCGTAAAAGAGAGATAAGAGCTGAGAAATGTCTGAATCAGAAGGGAGCTCCAAGGTTACCAGTTTTTCCAGGACGTTGTTCCAACCTCAGCCATATAGTCCTATCGTGACAGAAATGGACAGATGGGCATAAGAGCCCACTGGCCTCATCATAACCAACTCCACTGAACATGAGACCTCTTTAAACAGGCTGGAGCTGTAGACAAGTACAGTTGACCCTTGAACAACATGGGTTTGAACTGGTGGGTACACTTTATATGTGATTTTTTTTTTTTCTATTACTATATAGTTCAAATCCATGTTGTTCAAGGGTCAACTCCACAAGTAGGCTTGCATATGTGGAGGGCCTACCAATACGTGGATTTTCAACTGTGCAGGAGGTTGGCACCCTAACACCTCATGTTCAAGGGTCAGCTGGACTCCAGGCCTTTGTACTTCTGGGTGACAACACCTGCCCTGCTCCCAGAGGGTGGTCTTTCCTTATGGAATCATTTCTCCTCTTCACAGGCTCCATGAAGGCAAGTAAGGTACATTATTCCTAAGATTTTGGTATTCATCAATCCTGGTTTAAAGCTGAATGCTTCTGAAAAATACTTATTGGTATCCAATTAAATCGAAGACCATGAACCAATACAGTTCTTAATACAGAACTCGATTCACTTCTCTTTTGGTTGATCCCACATGTCTCAACACATGCCCCCTTTTAGCCTCCCTTTCCAAGCTCCATGAAAGAAGCTAAAGGTAATTTGACCTCATTTTAGTGGCCATCTTTAGATCACTTTTTAGAAATGAGAGCGTAGTCAGTTCAAATAATAAGTTAGGAATTCCAAAGGTTGCTTGCTTGCATGCTTGCTTGCTTGCTTGCTTGCTTGCTTGCTTGCTTGCTTGCTTCCTTCCTTCCTTCCTTCCTCCATTGCTTTTCCTTCATTTTCCTTCCTTCCTTCCTTCCTTCCTTCCTCTCAGTTCTCTCTCTCTCTCTCTCTCTCTCTCTCCCCCTCTCTCTTTCCTACCCAATGTAAGTACCTTGAAGGAATCAAATTTTGTGTTCTGGTTTACTGTCAAGGAATAATACAAAATATTAAACATAACAGACACACTTAAATATTTTATAAATTAGGGGTAAGACCTATTTCTTTTCTTTCTTCTCTCTTTTTTTAATCTTAGAGTAGAGGAGTTCATAGCTTCATTGGACATTGACTTGTTTCCTTTCAGCAAGAGAAAAAGACCCAAACTAAAGTCTACATTTTCTTGTAATACTTAACATACATCATTACTACATATTTACACTTCAATAAAGTACAGTTAAATGAGTACAATAAAGCACAGTTAAATAAGTACAATAAAGCACATTACTTGTAATGTTATCAGAAAATCTGCAAACAAGCCCATTCTGCCTTAATTCACCAGCTAGCCTTGTATTTATTACGACTTGACAGACTCATACAGATCTCACCTTCCATTTTTTAAAATTTGATCCAAGCACCAGATGTAACCAAAATCTCTGGAACTATGAAATAGTTTTAATCACATGGGTCATTTTCCATACAATGATGCCTACTATATAAAAGCCCTTTCTCATATTCTATATTTAAACTTCGAGTTTTGCACAAAACAGTTCAAACCACAGTACTTAGGAATCTCAGCCAGTAGGTATAGAATTCTATTACGACGATGTATTGCTTACATATTTTTAAAAATGTGAAGATGTAAAATAGTTTGGTCAATTCTGATAATTAGTAAACGTTGTTAATAACATTTATTTTTTAAATAAAATATTCAACTTAACATGTAAGTACAACCTCAATGCTGCTAGAGATTGATTAGTTTTCTTAAAAGACCCACAAACCTCCAAACTATGATAGAGAGGATCTTGGATTCACCTCAAGAATCCTGGAGAGATGGACAGATAACTCTTTGAGCTAAGTCTTCCTTTCTCCTAAATGTAACACTCTATTAAGAGAACTATGGCTCTGGGAATTTCAGAGGACACCTCCCCAAGGACTGCTTAGACAGGGGCAAGACGCTAACTCACATGAGACAGCTTCGTACCAACCCCCCAAAAATTTACAGTGGAAGAAATACCTGCCTACTTATGGTAGGATTACAGTGCTCAGCACAGTTTCCTGTTGATAGAAAATGTTTAATAAATGGCTGCTTTGTTAGCCTGGTGTTCTACCCTTTTGTACTAAAGAAATAAATCAGCAAACCTGATATTTCTTGCTCACTTGTCAGGGATTTTTCTGTCCTTTACAAAAATAAAGGCATCATAATAATGAATTAGACCTTCAAGCCTTTTTTTGTTTTCTAAAAGCCAAGACAGCCCATTCATTACCCCTTTACATTTGCCCTTTAACACTGCCATTTACTGCAGAATTTCCCCTAGTGTTACACTTTCTACTTCATAGTTTACAGTTGTTTATTGTTTAAACTGTTCACTTTCTAATGAAACCTGGAGGAACACTATTTTCATGAGTAGGCTACCTCAAAGTACAGAAAGAATGTACTGTTTTTGAGTTTTCCTGTAGGCAGATAATTACATTTAGATGAATTTTTAAAATATTTTTAAGTTTTCCAGTTATAGTTGGCATACAATGTTATATTTGTTTCCAATATACAACATAGTGATTATACATTTATATAATTTCTGAAGTGATCACCACGATAAATCTAATACCCATCTGATTAGTACCATACATAGTTATGTACAATATTATTGACTATATTCCTTATGTTATATTTAACATCCCTGACTATTTTGTAACTATCAGTTTGTACTTAACCCCTTCCCCACTTTAACCCGCCTACCCCAGACTCTCTCCCATCTGGCACCCCTCAGTGTTCTCTGTATCTATGCGTTCGTTTGTTTTATTTTGATCCTAGATTCCACATGTTAATGAAATCATATGGCACTTGTCTTCCTCTGTCTGACTTACTGCACTCAGCACAGTACTTTCTAGGTCCATCTATGTTATTATAGGTGGCAAGATTTCATTTTTTTTTTTTTATGGCTAATAGTCTATTGTATATATAACCATCCCTTCTTTATTTATTCATCTATTGAGGGACACTCAGGTTGCCTCCATATCTTGACTATTGTAAATAATGTTGGGATGAACACATGGATGCACATCTCTTCAAAGTAGTATTTTGGATTTCTTTGGATAAATACCCAGATGTTGGAACTACTGGGCCCTTTCTCTCTTGTTATAGCCTTTGTTTTAAAGTCTATTTTGTCTGGTGTAAGTATTGCTGCCCCAGGTTTCTTTTTTTTTTCATTTCTGTTTTGATGAAATATCTTTTTCCATCCCTTTCCTTTCAGTCTGTGTGTCTTTAATCTGAAGTGAGCCTCTTGTAGGCAGCATATGTAAGGGTCTTGTTTTCTTATCCATTCAGCCACCCTATGTTTTGATTGGAGCATTTAATCCTTTTACATTGAAGTAATTTTTGATATGGACTTGTTGCCATTTTATTATTCATTTTATATATAAAGAAATATATTTAACATATAACATTATTTAACTATATTAATTATATAATACATATTAATATATAAATAAATGTATATATTTAAGAAGCCCCTCCAACATGTCCTGTAATAGTGGCTTGGTGGTGATGAACTCCTTTAGCTTTTTCTTGTCTGGGAAGCTCTTTATCTGTCCTTTGATTTTAAATGAGCTTTTTGGGTAATCTTGGTTGTAGGTCCTTTGTTTTCATCGCTTTGAATATTTCATGCCAATCCCTTCTGGCATGCAACGTTTCTGTTGCAACATCAGCTGACAGTCTTATGGGAACTCCCTTGCAGGTTACTAACTGCTTTTCTCTTGCTGTTGCTAAGATTCTCTCTTTAATCTTTGCCATTTTAATTATGATGTGTCTTGGTGTGGGCCTCTTTGTGTTCATCTCATTTGGGATTCTGCATTTTCTGGGGCTTGTATGTTAATTTCCTTCACCAAGTTAGGGAAGTTTTCCATCATTATTTCTTCAAATAGATTTTCAATTCCTTGCTCTCTCTTGTGCTTATGATATCCCTGTGATGTGAATGTTCTTACGCTTGATGTTGTCCCAGAGGCCCTAAACTAGCTTCATTTTTTTTGGATTCTTTTTTCTTGTTGCTGTTCTGATTGGGTGTTTTCTGCTACCTTGTCTTCTAGATCACTGATTCGACCCTCTGCTTCATCTAATCTGTTGATTCCCTCTAATGTAGTCTTCATTTCTGACTTGTTCTTTTTTATGATTTCTACCTCCATTTTTATATTTTCTATATCTTTGTTAAAGTTCTGCGTTCATCTACTCTTCCCTTAAGTTAATAAAGCATCCTTATAACCAGTATTTTGAACTCTGCACCTAGTAGACTGGTTGTCTCCATTTAGTTGTTCTTTTTCTGGAGCGTTGTCTATTTTCACATGGGACTTCTCTCTCTATTTGGCTGCCTTCCTGCATTTGTTTGTATTAGGGAGGGCTCCTAAGTCTCCCAGTCTTCAGAGAGTGGCCTAATGTAGTAGGTGTTCTGTGGCAGTCTTCCCTGGTCACTTGAGCTGGGTGCCCAAGGTGTGTCTGTGTGCCTCTCACTGTAGTTGAGCCTTGGTTGCTGTTCGCACACCAGTGGGAGGGACTGGCCCTCAGGCCAATTGGTTGTGAGTATTGGCTGGTGAGGGGAACAGGATTCACTTTAGCAGGACTCTGGTACCTGCCCAATCTGCCCTTTGAGTGTGTCCGCCTCAGATGCTGCCCTGGGTAGTGCTCTGGCTTTATCAAAGCTGGTCACTGGGTGTGCAGGCCCAAGTGCCTCTTGGGAGGCACCCAGCCACAGGCCAAGTTCAGCTGTAGCTTGTGCCCTACCCGGGGTCACCTGGCAAGAGTCAACAGGCAGTCCGTAGATGGCCGCCACCTGTGCTGGGCTGAGGTGCCTTGGGATGCCAAGGTGGGAACTGAGCCTGGCTGCTGCTAATGCTGGGCTTGGTGCTGCTCAGCAAGTAGCCCAGGGCACCCTGAAGCCAGATGCTGCTTGTTTGGATTTTGTGAACCTTTTGAGAAATTTTAGGGAAGTCCACAGCATAAGCCAAGATGGTCCACTTGTATGGAAAAAAAAAAAACACCGTAGGCGGCTTGGGTGGGCTGGCAAGATGGAAGGGACAGAATCTCAGGAAATCACATGGGCGGGGTGACCTGTGTTAGTCTGGTTTATGGAGCCCAGAGGTGGCGGCCGTCTGCCTTTGCGCACCAGATGTGGGGAGAGCTCAACAAAGGAAAATGGATACTGCCAGCACTTCTGTTTAAGATAAAGCTACCCCTCAGTCCTCGCACTGAAGTCAGACAATCCAGTTCCTCCCTGTATGTCCCTGGTGCTACTCGAACAGCTGCCCTAGCGCTTGAGCTCACAGTGAGAGTCCGTCACCAAACAAGTCTGTGTGCGAGCCCTTTAAAGAGAACGTCTATGACTCCCACAGCCCTCTATTTCTCTCATCCACGAT